CACCGCAGCTCTCTATCTTGTTTCTATCAAAAGTTATTCAAAAAATACTCACTAGCATTCATGGAACCGTGACACATGCGAACAAAACAGATCTTATCAAAATTTTATTATTCTTATATTAGTTGAAATATGATCAAATAGCATAGAAAAATAGAGCATTCTTTTCTCTATCAGGTTGAATAGAAAGAAAATTTCTTGAAGCTTAATATACAGTATTAAAGTGTCACTGCCCGTACTTTTGGTATGCCCTAAGTAGAATAAAGTGTCGGGAATAGAATGCCATAAGTTTCCAAAGGTTTATTTAGTGTTAACAGGAACCATGCAGGTCCATTAACTTAGGTCGAACGGTAAAAAAATCACCAGAATCACTCATATGCTCTTTAGTGGCTCATATTCTATAAATTATCACAGATGCCAAATTTTTACTGAATAAAGTGAAAAAGATAGCGCTACACTGTTACATGTACGAGAAAAAGATATATACTGTTGTTTTCAGCATCATTTTAAACAAGTGGATATGAGCTCATTGTGGCAATTCCACATTGATTTTTCTTGTTACGGCTCATCCAGATATAGCCATCGTTACCCCATGATTCACCCCATGAATTTTTGACAATATAATAATCGTGTATGCCTTTTTTATCATAACCAACAGCTAACACACCATGATCTAATTCGGTTGAGCTACAATGGGGTTCATTGTACACACCTTTACTGTAAAATTGAAATGAACTTTGGCTAGCATCAATAGCTACTGAGACTGGTCCCACAGTTGCAATGGCTGATTGTAAATCGGCTTCACTTCCGCTTTTGATATCCGTGAATCCTTAATATTAAATGATAATTAGGGTTTAATACACTTATTTGTCAATAAATCTAGAAGGATTCTCACCTGTGTCATTAGCACCAACGTTTTGTGGTTGAAAACGGCAAGTGTTATCACGTGCTTCGTATGGGTACGATATTTCAGTGTCAATTCCCATGTTGGCTTTGATGTATTGAAAGGCTTGATCCATCAAACCTCCGTTACAACCCATATTACCAAATTTGCCACTACAATCAACTAGATTTTGTTCAGAAAGAGAAACGAGTTGGGAATATTTTTTGAAATGTTGACCCTCTAATGAACCGGTAGCACTAAATGCCCAACAAGATCCTGAATTAAAAAAATGTAATCAACACTTTAAAAAATGTAATGAATTTTTATCACATGACTTCTTACCACATTGACCTTGATCTTTAACACCGGTGACGTAACCTTGTTTACGCCAATCTGAAAGAAAAATAATTTTTAATATGGCTTCTATTTGATGCATATGGGCGTTTATCATACTTACCAACAGCCGCTGGAATTTCAATATTTGATAGTGGAATAAATGTATGACGATCAATTTTACCATCAACTGTACGACCAGCGGATTTTAAACCATTCATCTGTTTAACAAATTCTTGATGTGTCTAAAATGAATGGATACACGGTGTCAAACTGATAATGAAGGATACGTATTAAATTCAACTTACCAGATCACCATATTTGTTCATTTTCATTGTATATGTATGAACACCGAGATCAGCTTCCAAATTATGTGTTTGAATTTTGGCAACATTAGCTTCCCACACTCCACGTCTATTTGTTGAAATAGAACAAGTAATGGTTTATCATCATTTTTTGTCAGATAAAGTACTCACCGATATTGTTCTTGTGCAACTGAATAATCTTTGGCATGAACACGTTTGAATAATTCCCATGACTGATCCAACGATGATTCAAATGTTGGTGCTGAATAAACAGCAGCAACAAACATTAAACATAATGCGATAACTACTTTCATTCTTGATCTGTGGTCTTTTTTCGGTGTATTTGTATCAATGTGAGAGCTCTAACAGTTTTTTTCATGGAAATTCTGTGTTTATATATACTCCCAAACTTTTATTCATCTTGTCATTATTTGAATTACGATAACAAAGGTATTGAGTACGTTGACCGATGACATAAAAATGTTGGTCACCATTATCATGAGAGAATGATGTGAAAGAATGAAGTGGAAAAGCAATAAGACAAATTCATTAGACACAGACAAAACAAAAAAACATATGTTTCTAAGCTAGATAAAATGATTACATAAGAAAAGTCCTCCACTTTTTGTCTACGGTGTGTGATCGGTATCATATACAACGCAGTGTTGGTGAAAGAAGAATCCTGAAGAAAACTTCAACCGAGTTTGATATGGTGAATGAAAACTAAGTTAATCATATTGATCTGTGAAATAATAAAACACAGTTCAATTTACTATTTTTTGTCTAAAAAGAAAAGTTGAACGAATGAATGTTATCTGCATTGTTGCGGAACTAAACAAGACTAGAGTTGTATACGAATTTAAATTGCTATCACGAGGATAATATATTTAGCGTTTGTGAACAGAGATGATCTGAACAGTTTGTCCATGTAATGTGACACTGCGCTGATCAAGTCTTTTTGGAATTTTTCTCATCGGAAAATCGATAGGGGTATATCGCTAGATGCAGTTTTTCATGCTTATCACGAATCTGACTTTTTTATTGAAAAAAAAATTAATTTTCAATATAAAAGTTTTTAATTTAAAATTTTTAAAAACTTTACTTTCAATTTCCTGACTTAGACATTTTGTTCAAGAAATTTTAAAAACATACCAGTAAATAGACGATTCAATTCTCTACAAAATGGTTCATTTTGTTTTGAGATTGTTTTTTGAACAACGTTTAGCAGGTAAAAATGACGCGAAAAAAAGTGTGTAACAACGTTACTTTATAAATCGACTTTTCCATGCGGGCAGAAGGGTTTGGCTAAAAGTCTTTTTCACCAAAAGGAAGCCCGTTCGTTCCTCTACAAATTTACCTCTAGAAACTTTCCAGATGCACAGTTCAGTTCGCAGGAAATCAGAGCTTTATCAGGAGTTCTCAAAAAATAGGGACCTTTTCTGTCACAGGTTACGTTTCTTGGACAACAACCATCGTTGAGGGTGAGGGTAGACGTGAAATAATAAAAGTGGAAGTTGTTTTTTCTCATCAAGAATGCATTTTTACCTTTGTTTTTGTTCTTGTAGTGTCAGTTAAAAGTTACAGCATGAATATCAGCATCGATACTTACCTACTGTTCTTTCGTGGCTAAATTACGATGTAGTCTACAATTTCTAATCATACGGCTCCAATATATCAGATGACGACCGTGTGGAACCTGTTCGTTGAGCGTTTGTGATACCTAAATAGTACAGTCTTATTAATACAGAGAGACCAGACAAACAAAACATCATACTTAATGACCGCATTTGTCGAAATAGTTGTTTTGTTGTAAAAAAGACAAAAAGCATTATCAAATACCGTCAATCTTATAAAAAAAGGTATAAAAGTGGAGTATAGTTGCTTACTGTTATTGCGTTCACTATACCAGTTTCGTAAATCAAAACCAGAAAATTTCTGGCTTGTCTACTCGTCCATCATACATGCTAAAATAATTAATTTTGTTTCTGTTAAAGCAATATTTGCATGATCTTGGATTAATAATGGTTTAATTTGCGACTGTGATAGATAGTCCACGTTTAACACATTATTTGGATACCAATGTTCGAACTGATGGTAGTAACCATGTTATTAGACTTCGTTCTTCGTTTTGATGTTCGTGTGCATTTTTGGACATAAAGGACACTGATTGTGGAGCACTATCTGGTGCGATTTATTGAATTTCAAAAGAGCATAAAGGATACTTTCTATACCTAATGCATCTGAACGAATATTTTGTATGACTTTTTAAATCGGATTGACGATATTGGCACACATTGTACTGAGATTTGCCTAAATCTTTTGCTCCTCATATGGCTCGACTGTGCACAGGTCATTCTAATTTTGTTTCGATATAGTTTTGTTGGTATGGACAACAGCTTGCTACCGCTATTTCTGACTATTCTGTGTTGACAACGCAATTCGATCAATAGGAATCAAAAGAGACTAAATCGCTCTGTGATTAAAAGCCTTATTTTTTGGTGATCATTTTGCGATGGATGAATTTGGGATCCAAACGCATTTTCCGGTTAATCTACGTCAAGAATTATCCGTTTTTTAAAATTATACGGGCACGAATATTGTAGAAAATATCCCTCAAGATACAAATTATTTTCATTGTGAAATTGTATAGAAAACCATGGTTTTTAGACCTACTGGTCGAGAAACTTCTTTTAGAAAAATTGACAAACGATGTTTTTCTAATTACATGGCTGCATTCTGCAGGGAATGGGCTACATTTCGTAAAAAGGTCGAGTGTTCAACTCTAAATTGAATTTTAAAATTTGAACTGTTTTTGGAATGTAAGTAACTCAGCATTAGAAAGTGCTGGATCCTCGGAGCAAACGGCATTCAATGGAGAATAAAAAACTGAATAAACTTAGGGATCTGACAACTATGCAACTTTAGACAGATAAATTTTCCCAAAACCCTTTTGTTGCCCTCAATTTGACTACCCTCAATAAAACCGTCAGGTTATAAAGTAAAAAATTGTGATTTCCGCTATTCGATCGGCAGTATCGATGCACCTATCTGGGTTTTAAATCTAAGCTGTAAAATTTGAAAAAACCGAACAGAAGAGTTTGGGGAAAATTTATCTATCTAAAGTTGCAGTTGGATAGTTGTCAAATCCCTAAGTTTGTTCAGTTTTTTATTCTCAATTGAATGCCGTTTGCTCGAGGATCCAGTACCTGCTAATGCTGAGTTATTTAAATTCCAAAAAAAATTCAAATTTAGAGTTTAAGACTCAACTTTTTATACAAAATGTAGCTCATTCCCTGCAGAATGCAGCCATGTAATTAGAAATGCTCCATCGTTTGTGGATTTTTCTAAAAAAAGTTTCTCGGCCAGTAGATCCTAAAACCATGGTTTTCCAAAAGAAAAAAAACACTACTTCCAAGCATTTTGGACAAAAACCTCCGCTAGACAAAAGAAAGGACGTGGTCTGAAACCCTTAATTGCCAGATGGCATTAAATTTGATCAAGGCAGGGAAAAGTTGGCCCAGACCTACATTCTAATATAACACGCCTATTACCCCGCAAAAAAATTTTTCCTCAGCTGGTCTGCAGAAGAGCTTCAGCCAAATCTGTTTCGTCTTCATATGAATAACGTGAATAAGAAAACAAAGCAGAAAGGAAAAAAGAAAAGGAAATCCCTATTTCTCCCAGCTCTCTTACAAGTCACGAAAATTGGAAGACTTTCACTCTTTTCATTCTTCAAGTTCTTCAAAAACTAACTGAAAGCACTGTTTAGCTTTTCGATAGTACTTTAGAAATCGTTGAGTGATTATGCAAGGCAGAATTCCCTTGCTACTAATAAAATCTCATTCCTTCAAAGGTCCATGCGGCCGATCAGGTGTTCTCTTTAAACTGACATAGTTTAAGAGCACATATTGTCCATAAACACTTTTTTAAAAGTTTTCAGATATGCTCTTTCCAATGGTGTACTTTATAAAGTTCCAGAGTACTTATGTGTGGATTTTCTAGAGACTCGGTCTCTAGAGAACTCACATCGTTAGTCGAATAAGGAAAATACTACAATTGAATAAAAGTTTGATTTGTCTAATAGAGAGGAAGTCTAGTCCTTATTGGTTTTCTGCATATATGACATGTTTGTATTTGTTCCGAGCATTGACGACACGTCGAATGACCACATGTAAAAACAATGCCTTTTTCACGCTCATAACATATCGCACATTGATGTTGTTGTTCTAATTTTTGTATCTTTGATTCCAATTCTTTTACTTTATTATTTAATGATACAACAGGTTGTGATGGTGGAGGAGCTCTTGCTGGAACCGTGTGCAATGATAGAGTTGGCTCATTAACTAAAACAGTAAAAAGAAAGAAGTCATCGGTAATTTCTACTAAACTGCTTGTTACCTTCGAAAAATAGTTCTGCTGGAAAGAGCTTCGCCTATTTAGCACCGTCTTCCTAATAAGAAAAACTCTTTACAGAGAGATTTGATCCTCCCGCACTCGTATCAACCACTCCGGCAAGAAAACCTCTCTACAAAGGGCGGAAACCGCATCTCTCTTTCCTTTAAGAAAACACTTCCTTGCCAACCTGTGTCTCCTCCGCACCCTTATCACACCCAGTTCCTTCAAAAGAAACTCTTCTTACAGGGGCAAAGAGTACACTTCTTCTTCGGGTAAGAAAGATTCTCGTGAAGAAAAGTATAATCAGCGACCTTCTTGATTTTTGTTTTTGTTTTAGAGTACCATCTACAACAGCTACAACAATTTGCACACCAGTACCAAATAAAGGATAAAGAATTCAACCGAAACTTTGTTAACAGGCAGATAACCAGACAACTGGATCGTGTGTGTATCTGTGTTGCTTTGTAACGCAGATTTTTAGCGTTAACCCTTTCACTGGCACGGACGCCTTTTGACGTCAACGGAAGCTTCGTCTTAACAGAGGAGTACGGAAAGGGCTTCTGAAAAAAGTGGCGAAGCTGAAGAAAGGAGAATCTGTGTTCAACATGGAGGGACAAGTGCTGATGCATGTGTGGAAAGACAAGCGAACTGTGAAACCGATATCTACTCGACATCAGACATGGATGGTGACATCAAACAAAAAAGACAGAAAAGGAAGTTCAAGAGATCGTGTTGGACTACAACAAGTACATGAAAGGGGTTGACAGGATGGATCAGATGCTAGAATATTACCTACGTGTCAGAGTGACCAAAGAAACTTTTCTTCTTCCTCATGCATGGCTGCACTGAATGCTTTCATCCTCTGCAGGAAGTACACAAAGAAGCAACCAAGTACCAGCGGAGTTCAAAGGCGACCTCCTGTTGCGGATCGAGATTCTCGTCTCATACGAGGATTCAAATTGCATAAATCAGTGAGTATTCTTCCAACTAAAAAGAAGATCAATCTAAAAAGGAGGTGCTGCGTGTGTGCTTGACTCAAGAAGAGGAGAGAGACCAATGTAATTTGTGGAAAGTGTGGAATAGGCCTTTGAAAAACTCCACGTTTCAATATTTACTATACCAAAAAGTTTTATGAAGGCTCAGGACACCAGACAGAGGTCAAATTTATATTGCAAAATATTACATTATTTGTTTTGCATGCTAAAAATGCTAGAAACAAAAATAAAAAAATATTGCACATATATGGTGCAATAATTTTTTATACAGTAAGATAAACTGTTGCTAGGTGCGTTTCGGAAAATTTTGCTTAAAGTTTGCTTATGGGGCCTGTGCTAGCCCGTCGCTGAATTTTATTCGAAGAATAAAGTCACAAATACATCAGAACAGAACAGCTCACCCCGGTGTGTACAAACAAACACTATATATAAATGAAGAAAGATTGTTTCGTTCTCAAGAAGAAATGAGTCAACATTCTTTGTGGCCATGAGAAATGAATAGCGAAAGCAGAAAGAGAAACGAACGTCAGTGACGACTAATATAACAGCACAGTATTTGAATATCCGCGTGCTAGCGAAAAGATTAAGTTCGATGATGATATTTCAGTATTTTTATTTGGAAAAAATTGTTCTTGACAATTTAGGAGAATTTGGCATACAGATCGTACGGAAAATGAGTCTTAAACTCATTGTATTTGAACCTTTTTGACTTCGAAATTTTGAGGTTCGCTAGTGTATAATTTCTTTACCTTCGGTAGACACTTGTCTTTCGGATTGTTTCGTTAAATTATTGTTTGGGTTTTTTTCACATAGCATCTATAATAGATAAATTATATGAAAAATTAATTAATAATCAACAAAACAAGAAATTTTCTTCCATTCATGCTTTTACCTGATGATGTTCAAAAGTATATATTGTCAATAAAGTTTGACAAAATTCACATGGTAACAATAGTTCGACTTCATTATTCACTCCTCTTGCTTCTTGTGGCGACCGTGGTCGACTATATACACAAAATAAAAAAGCATTAAAGGTGTCCGATAATAGCTGACCCTAAATTGCCAACCACATTTCATATGGATTTCAGTCTTTAGCCTTTTAGCTGAGAGTGTTGCAAAGATGCGTCAACAACTTTGGACTGCATCTGTTCGGACTTCGTACAAACATTTTTAGTTTATTCTTGTTTGTCAGACAAAAGATTTCGATGTGTTTTAATTATTGTTGGATACATCTGTGCGTCAATTGTAGGCAGAAAGCTAAACTTTTACGATATTATAGATATAGTGTTGGTTTATATGCAAACAATAAAGGTAGCTTCGCGCAACAAGAAAAACCATATGAAATATTGGTAATGTATTGTCATTTATTCTAGGATAGCATTTATCAAACTGAATCTAGATTCCTCTTTTCTTTTTTTATACTATACTTTTCATCATGGTTCACTACTGATGTGGATGGCTAAAATAATTAGATATAACGTGCTATAGGTCTAAAAGGGAAGCCGAGTGAAAGAGTAGTACTTTTCTTACTTGATCTTCAACAATTTCTGTTGTAATAATCTGTGTTAGTGTTAAATCTTTAAATTGTTCCCAGATCTTTTTAAACATTGTGAAGTTTTTATGATTGTTAATATCAACTTGTATCTGAAATGATTCATTTTATATTTGTAGTAAAGAAGTAAAGTAGAGAAATTCCATTATTGTAATGACACATTATGTGTAATGATAAAGATACGTATCGATGAGTATATAGATAGGTAGATCCCCAAAGGAAAAGAGTGTTTGTTTAAGAAAGAACATAAAATATATAGTAAATATTTTTATTTTATCTATCTTTTCATCATACATGATACTAAAGTACATCTGTCTGTGAACTTTTTTTATATCCATAAGAAATGTCTGCTAGGAATAATAATAATTATGGTACTCTAAGAGATGTTAATGATGGTAATATACAACCAAATAGAACGGTTATTATGACAGTACAGCAGAATCCTTGGCTTTACATATGCACGATAGTTTCATTTCTTATTATTATAGGTTTAATAGTACCTTTAGTAATATATGTGCTAAAATATGAGCATTGTAAAGCAGGTAATACTCATATCTGATTTAGAGACAACTATGTGATATGAGCATCTGTCTTATTTTGTTTTTGTTTTTATTTTAAGTGCAGCCTACAACAACATCAACAACGATCACTTGCATACCAGTACCAAATAATGGTCTGTTGTATGGTACAAATAATCCTGTAACAAGTTTAACTTATAAATATTATTCATTTTCATATTGTCCAACATCATTAGCAGCAATATTAACATTTTCATTAAGAAATTATCAATCAAATTGGTATTTAGATGATATTAATATGTATACCGCACCAAATAATAGAACACAAGGAATAGTAAATGGCGGTTTTGAATCCGGTAGTACATTAGGATGGGAAAATACCGGTTCATGTAAAGGTACAATTGGTACTGGCACATTTGCTCATAGTGGTAATCATTATTATTTCTCTAAATGCAGTCCCAATATTGATTATCTATCACAAAACATTACAACAATTAAAGGACAACTATATTATCTTGATTTTTGGTTATATACTGAAAAATCTAATGTTACTAACACATTATTAAATGTAACAATTTTATCATAACAAAAAATAACCATTTAAGAGTGAAACAGAAAAAATCACCAGTAATGGAATAATACATGGAATTATTGCTGAAAAATTAGCAGAAATATGTGTTTTTTGATCAAATTTAATATTTGTAACTCAAATTTAGGCAACGACCCTAGACAAATTTTTTTTGAAATTTCTGATAAGAATCTTATCCGATTCTTATCAGATTCGTATATAAGAAGTGGCACGAAAGTTGCACGAATTTCGTAAGAATCAGATAAGAATCGAGTAAGAAT